GGGTTACTCCCTGCTCTGTGTTGGGTTGATGCCCCATCCTGGGTTACTCCCTGCTCTGTGTTGGGTTGATGCCCCATCCTGGGTTACTCCCTGCTCTGTGTTGGGTTGATGCCCATCCTGGGTTACTCCCTGCTCTGTGTTGGGTTGATGCCCCATCCTGGGTTACTCCCTGCCTTGCACCCATAGCTTTTGGGATAGACTCTAGACCCCTGCAACCCTGCATAGGACAAGCAGGCATACAAAATGGATGGAATTCTAACCAAGTAAGGGGTGATACACAAAATGTTACTCATTATACATTTTTTAACACAAAGATACAGAGGTAAAGAACCATCCAGTCTTTATAGCAGGGGTCTCCAGATCTGACCCTTGATTCCAAATCCAGGCCTTGTTTTCAGTTCGGCAGGTTTTGGCCGTTGAGGACTGTGATTTGAATAGCCCTGGAATATATTGTGGTTACACATCTGGCTAACAATTTTATACCTAAATACATTATTTTCACGTTTATGAACTGAAAATGCATGAGATCATCTACAAATATTTCAGTGATAGCCTTGCATGGACACTTTATCGCAGACTTTTCTAAATTTTTCTTTATTGTCACACGACCGATTAGTCAGCGTTTTTTTCCATGTTTCTATAATAAGATTTCAGCGAGTTATGAACTGAAATACACGAGAAAGATAGGCTACTCAGCATCGCCGACGATGCCGTTGACTCCAGAGGGTTAAGGTAACACCAAAAAATACTGTTTTAAAAACACTTGACCCAAATCCATATTGTATCGGATCGGATCGAAACAGACTGGATCGAATCGTGATAATCGATTCTAAATATTGAGAATCGGAATCGAATCGATTCTTGAAATTTGAATCAATACCCAGCACTAGTCTTAATGGTGCACAATTTTAGAATTAACAACGGTGGTCTGGGTTTTAAGAAAAATGTTTAATCAGTGGCAGAAGAAAATAATTCTACTGAGAAATATACAGCTCATAGTGCATTAATCCTTACATATGGTAATTGAAACAGGCAATACAAGGGAAAAAGCTGCTGTCTTCAGCATAGAGGGAGACGGTCAGAAACAGGCACTCAGACTCATTCAGGTGTCAGAGGCACCAGTATAATGACTGTGTGCAGTTACATGCTTTGAAACTTGGCACTTATGTTTCCAGTTGGACGCCATTGTTCTCTGTGGGTCAGTTTCTGTCGGCTTTTCTGTTACCTGTCCTGCTCCTCCTCCACAACACGAACCCAGCAACATTAATAGCAACAAGAACCAGAGCAGCAGCCACACAGCCGATGATGTTGCCCCAAGGAAGGCCTCCTGAAATAAGGTTAAAACACCATGTTCACCCCTGACAGTGACGCCCATCAGCTGCTCTCTCTCATTACTGTGTCACTGC